CCAACGCCACCTTGCCATGAATGGCGATCCCCTTTTCGGGGCTCCAACTCACATGAATATGGAACAGGCTGAGTGGAGAGCCCGCGAATGTTGAATATGTGTTTTTTCCACGTTGTTTTTCTGATTTACGAGCCATAAAAGTTAACTTAATTAAATGGTTTTTGGCGTTCGCTGAATATTTATGGGGCCAGGATTTCAATGTGTCGCCGAAAGTTATGGGAAACGTTTTGCGGATATAGTTATCTTCTAGAAAATGAAAGCTTAAATTCGACTCTTAAACATCGAAATAGATTAATAATTTAGTTTAAGTATAAATAATTTTATTTGTATATCTTTTCAATAGCAGCTTTACCTAAATTATTAAGTTCATATGCGACTAATACTTTCTGCATTAATATTCCTTTTGAAGACCTTGAATGTGGATGGTCTATTGCTTAATTTATCGGTGCTCGAGCTGAATTTCTGTGACATTTTCATCCCTTACCAGCAAACATATATATATTTTATTGAAACAAACAAGTGTCGAAATAATGCATGGACAACTTATTGCGTACTTCCAGTCACTTAAACTTCACTGCGTTTCAAATGCCTTTCATGCTTCAGTTAACCAATGACAAAATTACAAAAACTAAAGAGGAATGAGGGAACAACTCTCGAGTGATGGAGAACAACACCTAAAGTCAGCTTAAATGGCGACCGCAGAAACATTTACTCGTAAATCAATTAGCACCCACAACAAGTACCCAAAAAAGCAGCCAACCCTAAGGGGGATCTCCTGTTGCCTTGCGGCTTTTTCGCAAAATTAACTACCTGCTAAGTTAATTGAGCAAACAACGCTCGCAGGACTCGCAGGATCCGCTGCCATAAAAGTTGTGCATCGGTCCAACTAAAAAGTCAGTGGCTGCGCTGCGGCTTACAACTATTAATTATGCGGGCCAAAGTTATGACAGCAGAAAACAGCCGCAGAACTCGAACGGCGAATGGCGAACGGCGAAACTAAAAACTGCCAACTGCCAGCGAGCAAAGGGAAGCGCACATCATAAATTACGGCCAGGACACGGTCATGGAGGATGCAAGGATGTGCCTGCTCCTGCTCCTGCTCTTCAGCCTTCCAGCTCCTGGATATATATGTATGTGCGGTAAGCCGCCGCCTGTCTTTTGGCCATGGCAAACAGCTTCCATGCATCCAAAAAATATTCGAAAATTTCAATGGAACTGGAGGAGGAGGAGTAGCAGAAGCAGAGCTGGAACCTCCTGGCACAAAGGTATCCTGCCACGGCACAAAATGGCCACCGCAAAGCGCACAAAAAGTGTCATGGCGCATGAAAAACTTCCTGCAACGGGAGTGGCTTGGCCAAAAGGCCTTCAGCCTGTCCTGTCCTCTCCTGTCCGTGGCCAAAACAATGGCTGAGCTCCTCCGCAGTTTCGGCAAATGAAAGTCGCATTGTCAGGCTCAATGTTTCCGGCCAGCTCATGGATGTCCTCGGCCCGAGTTTCAGCCTCATCCTCATCCTCAGCCAGCCATCCTGCAACCACTGTGTCTGCGAGTCTGAGTCTCCGTCGTTCCCTGGATGTGGATGTGGTTGTGGCCTGAAACAAAGCGCATCCGTTTGGCGAAAATTGAAATGACAAAGTTCAAAGTTTAAGCGGCTTGGCTGTCAGTTTTTCAGGGGCTCTTATAGTGCCGCGTTCGGTGCAGTGAAAATATTTCCAGATTGACTCAATTTGTTTGATTTTCAAATGTTGTCTATACAGAAAACTATTTAAATTATAATATTCCTTATTTTTTAGAATACTTAATTAAATTTAATGAATTTTATATTTTGCAGGATTAAATTCGAATGAATAAATGAAACCAATCTAATTTTGAGAAAATTAACAGAATATTTACGTAATTCCGTTAGATGTTAATTCCTTTAAAAGACTATTGATAAATAATAAAAAATAAATAAATACATGTTTAATTTACTAAAGCGATCTTTTAATAAAGAGATCTTGATAAATTTTATTAAGTATCTACAGTTAAGTGCGAGGATATTAGAAATTATAAATATTAATTAATTCACTAAAATATAAATAAATTAAATATTAATAATATCTTTATTTTTCTCCGTGTGCCCGGGAAATAAGTGCCCCGAACCACAGGGCTAATCAGCAGGCAAACACTCAAACCACATTGATTGCAGTGGCTGCGGTGGAAATTAAAAACGACCGGGAGCAAGTGGAAATTAAATTGCCTGCAGTTAAAAAACACTTTGGCCAGCCACCAGTCACCAGTAACAACAATGTAATAAAAGTCATCTCCTGACACGCCCACTCCTCCGCCGGCGATGTTCGCAATCCCCCAAACAACAACTCCACCAAGGCATTTGCATACTTTTAAGCGCAGATGAGCAGAAATCACTCATACGCACGGGGAGCCATTAAGGGGGGATGACTGTGATGAGGATGATGGGGCGGAGCCAAAGCCCTGGGCTCAGGCTTACTCCAGCTGTCGGATTTTCTTGCTCCTGCTATTATGACGGTATTTGCATTGTGTTTAAACGTATTTGAACACGATTTTGAGTCAAGGGGATTGGATGGGAATGAGAATGAGGTGGGTTATTGGTGGGAGGATTGGAGTGAACCACCGCTCATACCAAATGAGCAGGCAATTTATTTACGGTCAAATTGCGAGGTTAGGCAAGGCAAACAAAGCGGCGCAGGTCGCTGCGCAATGGGATCCCCGGATCCGGATTGTTTCGTGCTTCCCATGGTGGGCGTAAAAATGTGATAAATATGAAATGTGATTATGGCTCGGCAGCTATTATGTAGCACCCAGCCAGGATGATGATGAGGCTTATTATGAAGTTGCCTTCGCCTTGGTCTTAACTCTGCGGTTGCCTTGGGCGTCGTTTTGAGTGAGTGGCTGCCATGAGACTGTCTGTCCTGCCAGTCCTTCCATCCGGGATGTGTATGTGGTGGCCTCTTGTAAATGAAATGAGGAAATGTGATTTTGACGATGTGTTCGCTTTACGGCAATGGCAGCTCGTGTGGGTGGCTCTTGTTTGCTTGTTTCGAGGGCGCCGGAAGTTGTAATTGTTTTTTAAAGGAAACCCGAATTGCTCATTGGGGAAATGCACGAAATAAATCAACGCGATTGACTATAAACGGGATATCTGGGTATGGGCTATGAAATATAACTAAATGTGAATTGTCTCAGACTTTTCTTTATTTTTGTAGGTATTGAAATTTTATATTTTATTTCTAGAAATCGAAATATATCAATCAATACTTCTTTATAAATAATTTCTATTTTTCGCAGACCTTCTCCGCCATTTAATTCTAGAAATCGAAATATATATCAAATCAATACCTCTATATAAATAATTTATATTTTTCGCAGACTTACTCTGCCATCTAATTTAATTTCTCAAACTTGATATAAAGCACTTTTCAACTCCCATATAGACCTTTCACATTATATGTACTTTCTCATATCTTCCCTTTATCTCTTTACCTTTATGCTTCCCACCAATTTGGTTACATTAAATTTCCCACTCCAACCATGTGAAAGAAGCCAGGGAAAATGTCTTTATCAAGTGGCAAGCAGCGAACACAAAGCCATAAAATGCTAATCCCATCATGGGAACAATGAGCAGAGCGGATCGGAGCAGAACGTTAGCCGTTTAGCGATGCCATCGATTGATACATCAGTCGATAAGGCAGCCAGACATCCTGTGAGAATCCTGGATGGCTGCTTGGCTGCTTGGCTTCTGTGGCACGGGGCTAACAGGATTTGGCCACGCTAAATCAACGCAATTCGCTGTGGCTCATTTGAGTGCAGCAACGAGCCAAGGAAAACGCAGGGGGAGCACGGCCACCACCCAAGGAATTCGTTGCGCTTTGTAGGAATTTGCCATGCTACAAATTCGAGGCTCATGGGAACTGAACTGAAATTCAGGAGGGTTGGCTGGCAAGTGTGGAAATATTGATATTCGAATTACATTTTTGCCAAAAACTGCACGAGCACTCCATGATGATGGGCTATTCCTCGTTGGAAGCTCGTCGTATTCGTCGCGCCGTCTGGGCGAATGACTGCCTTTTGGGCATCAGGACAACCCTGAAGCATCCTTTCATCTTGTTACCATTTCGGTTCCCAGCTCATTAGCGTCGGCGTCGCAGTTTTTGTGTCCGCATCTAATTGCTGCATGCAGCCAAAATGAATCCCAGGGAATCGCAACTGCAGGATTCAGCTTCACTGCGCTAACAAGTTGAACATATTCTCCACTCTACTTACATGGCGTATGTTACTCCTTCTGAAAAGCATGTGCCCGCGGATTCTCGGTGGTTTTTCTAAGCCTGGGAACCTATGTTTTTGCTCTACTTCAAAAAACCAAATGACTCGGCCAGCAAAGACTTTCGAGAACTCCATATGGTGTGAAGTCATTCTACAAAGATTTTTGTAGTTTCTTGTTAGGTATTCTGTGAAAAGCTAGCTTTTTGGTTTTTATTTCCGTTATTTGAAGACTAAAACATTACCATTTTCAAAAGGATAAAAATGTAAAGTTACACCGCTTGGAACGTGTTAAAATTAATCCCATCCAAGCTCAAAAAGAACGATATTTTGTTTGTGCTCTATTTATGAAGTCTCAGTCATTATATTATTTATGGTGTACCTATAACTATATTTTCAATTTCTGGATGTAGATATTAAAAATGTTTTTGTAGTCATTTGTAAGTAAGGTTTCATATTCGGTTGAGGTTTGGAGGTCTTTGTTGTTTATACTGATCAACAATCTATTTTAAGGGATTTATGCCCTTAAAAAAAAGAGTAGGGGAACTTTCATATTTGTTCATAAAAATGGTTTCTACTAAAAATGTCTTTATCTTTACAAAATAGTTTTTCAACTATTCTGAAAAATATACAGAAAGGCCCCAATCCCGAACTTCAACCAAATGGTTAAAGTTCTTTAACCCAAATCAAATAATACATGAAAATAATTGGATTGGCATAACAATTAGATTTTTATTGAAACATTCAGCCACACATTGAATGCTAACATATTAGCAGATCTGCAACTTAATTATAATATCTTACAATGATCGAACTCGAGATCCTTTGGGGTCCCGCAATAAGATAGAGAATTAATAGACATACAGGGAGATCCAGATATTTAAGATACGAATTGCACTACATTTAAGGCTAAGGGGAAATTAAATCGGAGCGTGAGGGAAACTAAAATTAATATCACAATCGAAAACGGGCAACGAATGGGTGGTGGTGGTGGGGGTTTTGTGGAGAAGATCTGGGGCCTTAAAAATATCCGAAGAAATGCTTCGATCATTTGGACATGCCTCCCATTCGGCGACCTGGCGGAGTGCCGCCGACCACGTTGATGATCTCGTTATCTCCGCCGGCGGAGGACGAGGATGAGTCCTCCATTTGCGGCTGGTGATCACTGGCCTTGTCCTGGTGGGCGGTCATGTGTCGCGTCAAATGGTGTCGCTCCCTGAAAGTCTCCTGGCAGACGGGACATCGGAGCTTCTCCTCGCGCTTGCGGCGATTCGGATCGCAGGCCACCTCGCTTTTGTGATGCGATCGCATGTGATAGACCAGATCGCTGGTCATCCGGAAGCTAATGTTGCACTTGGCGCACACATTCTGGGCGGTCAGTGTGAAGGTGGAGGCCAAAGTGGGTGGAATCAGCGTGGAGAGAATGGCAGCTGCAGCGGGATTCTGCAGAGGCTGCGATACTGCAAAGGGATGGGGTGGCGGAGCAAATCCCGGATAGCCATGCAGAAACTCCGCCGGTGGTCCGCCAGGTGGTGAACTACCTGGCATGGGTCCTCCGCCTCCGCCATTGGGATTTCCCGGTCCTGGAGGACGAGTGTAGAGCAGCTGCTGCTTGAGTCGCTGCTGTGCCTGCAGAGCCTGCATGGGATTCACGGCCTGAAAGGCTCCGTTGAACTGATACTCCGGCCGAAAGTTGTGGTACACAATGGGATTCGACGGCAGGGGATTCTGGCTGGGATGCTGCTGGCCACCGCTATTGGTTCTTGGCGGCGGCGTCACCAGCGGCGGACTCATCGAGTGGCAGCTCAGCTGATCGGGACTGAGGGGAGGAGCTCCCACATCCACGGGTGACTCCAGACGGGAAGTGGAGGTCGACGGTGAGGATGAGGCGGTGGACAGCGACGAGGAGGCCACCTTGGTGAAAGCACTCCGCATGGGCGGTGGTGGTGAGGAGGTGGAGGGAGCCTCTGGGGAATCCACCAGCGGTATAATCACACTGGGATCATCATAGACCCGCGGCGAACGGATGCTGATCTGTGGATATCGCTGGCGAGCCTCCAGCAGACTTATGTACTCCAGGGCGGCCGGCGATGGAGGTTGCGAGGAAGCTCCTCGAGGCGACAAATCTGTGGGATAGTGGCTCATCTGCTGCTGTTGCTGCTGCTGGTGGTGATGATGCTGCAGTGCCTCCTGGAGGCGGGCCTGCTTCTCTGCCTGCTTCTGCTTGATCCGCTCATCGGGCATCATTAGGAAGGCCACATCGAAGGCTCGTTTCAGAGTGGTCTTTCCACCAGCCGGCGATGTGGGTGTCTCATTATTGTTATTGTGATTGGTGGTCTGATTTTGCTGCGGCGACTGTTGCGGCGATGTGGAGATCCGCAGCTCGGCGTGCTGGGGCGGCGTGGAGCGACGCTGGCCAGGATTCGCATGCGACGGCAGGCTATCCATGAGCAGATTCATTTTAATCACTTCAGTACACTTTTTCGACTTTCACTGGGGTTTTGTGTTGAGCTTGGCTTTGCTGCTAGTTCCTTGCGATTCGAAATTCCAGTTTCGACTGCTGGCCGCCCGCAATCTGTTCCTCTTTAAGTAGCCGCGTGCCACCCACCACCACCACCACCTCGTCCAGTTGGAATTCTCGTATTCTCATATTGTCCCATTCAAATGGGAAAAACGCAACTCTCCGCACTCGCGGCACTTGGCCCATCTGTCCTGATTCTGCTCGCAGTTCAGAGTCTGTTCAGATTCAGGTCCTGCAGAGAGCGGTAGTCACCACCCTTATGTTCCTGCACTCGCTCTCTCTTTCTCCAGCGCTCTTCCCTCTCTTTCTCCGGCCCACTCTGTCTGCCGCTCGGCGGTCCATCTGCTTTGCCAGTTGGCAAACATATTCTGTGGTTTTATTGTGCGGGCCTTGTTCAGGACGAGTCCTGGTTGGCTGGCATCCCCGGCCAGGTTGGCTTACTCGAAAAACTTACAGTGTTCTATGTGATAAAGTGACAGTGGGATGTGTCTTCAATTCATTCCAGGTGATTTTAAGTTCCAGTAAAATTCAAAAGCTTTAAAAATGTTTATTTATAAACTGTTAAATTAAAAAAAAAAATTTTAATAAAATAAAATAAATTTATTAATTAGCAACACATTTTTTTTTAATCTAACCTGCTAAATGTTTAAGTAAAAGTAATAACTTGCATAGATGCTTTGTTCTTAAATTAAATATTGTAAAAATGGGCAAACATTTTCTTCACAAATTGTAAGAACAACTTTTATGGCACTTCGATTTATTCGGTTTCAGTAGGGTTAAATTGTAAGTCTCTAAGTGGATGTCTTCCTCATTAAGATGACTTCTTTATGATATTCTAATATTTTTAATATTTTACCCAAAGGATTGTATGGTAAATAATATTTTTATATGCTTAGTATTCCTGCCCTTTTCCACTGTGCACAGTCTCTGTGCAGGATAACTTTTCGAAAAGAGGCGGCGCTTGGTCCTGGCGCTCTCTTTCTCTCTCGCTGGCTCTCTTGTTGCCTCTCCACCCCAGAAATATGGCAGGACCTGCCCTCTCTTTCTAGCTCTATCCCTGTCTCTGCTGGAGTTGATATCCTTGTTGCAAGTGTTTCCGAACAGGTTGTTTTTGTCGATTTTTTAGCAGCGCCAGCGAGATTGTGTGAATATGTGGCCATGTTTTGTGTTGCTGTATTTGTTGCATTTGTTGCTGCTGGGTTGGATTTTGAGTATATGCTGCGCGTAGCTTTTACATATTGCCAACCACACACACACACAATCAAACACACATACACATTATAGCGAAATGGGGTTCCCCCGTTTTGTAGGCGACTGTTGAGCGCCGAAAGATTTCAACGGACTGTAATATTTATTTGTCAGTTGTGTTGGGCTCTATGTGGAAAAAGTTCCAACTGCCCAGTAAATATACACATGCAACAATAGCAAATTGTGCAATGTTTTCCGTTCGTTTTCCGTCTCGTTCTGGTCCCCCCAGATCCTTTTTTTCCCGGCTAGACCCTAGATCCTGGCAGACCGGACGTGAGGATGTGGCCATTGCCAGGACAAAATATGTGTCTGTTATGGTCAGTCGTGAACAAGGCTTGCAGCTACCACACACACTCCACACTCCACGAAATATATATATTTTATTTAAATTTCACTTCTTTTGTTGCAATTTGCCTGCCTGTTTGTCTGCTGCAGCGGCAATTTAATGTTTGCATATTTTCAGGTGCTAATTGTTCCACTTGCCATATGAGTTGCATTTTTAATTAATATTTATGGCCACCAGCAAGCGAGTGTGTGTGGGTGCGAGTGTGTATCTGTGAGCCTGTGGAGCCTATAATTCGCATGGCCGCCATGTTGGCTGTCGACCAAATTAATATTAAACACATGATTGCCTTCGAACATGGCCGTTTCATTAAAAATATTGTTTAGTTTGTATTTAATTAATTGCCGATCGAACATTCTGAACTACACCCGTAAACTGATGTGATTAAAAATTGATAAATTACACTGTGCAGCATTTTTACTGTTTTTTAAATTTACCTCGACGGATGCTATATTTTTGGATTCGTTACGAATTCCCAAGTTAAACTGCGTTTTCCAAAAAGTTCCCCGACGCAAGGAGTCTAAGCAAAAGGACCTCAAAGTTCGAAAAATGGTGAAATTGTCCAACTTTGCGGAGCTCTCAGAGGCAAATGGATGCATGGTTTGATTCAATGTTAAAGTTTTTTAAAAGATACACCCTTTATCTTTCAAACCCCATACTTAAAATAATTTTAGGATTTTTTTTATGGCAGAAATAAATTCCAGGAAACATAGTCAAAAAACTTAAAAACATACAACTGCGGTCAAAATAGTAGTAGTGTTGCCGCCTTGTGTTTTTAAAAGTTTGATGTTGTAACTTTTTTTTATCCAATTAGTCTAATAGTAAAATTATAATCAATACAATATTACCAGGAAGAGATCAATTACAACAACAAACTTTTAAAAACACAAGGCGGCAACACTACTACTATTTTGACCGCAGTTGTATGTTTTTAAGTTTTTTGACTATGTTTTCTGGAATTTATTTCTGCCATAAAAAAAATCCTAAAATTATTTTAAGTATGGGGTTTGAAAGATAAAAGGTGTATGTTTTAAAAAACTTTAACATCGAATCAAACCATGTATCCATTTGCCTCTGAGAGCTCCGCAAAGTTGGACAATTTCACCATTTTTCGAACTTTGAGGTCCTTTTGCTAAGAATCCTTGCGTCGGGGAACTTTTTGGAAAACGCAGTTTAACTTGGGAATTCGTAACGAATCCAAAAATATAGCATCCATCGAGGTAAATTTTTGATGCTGCATAGTGTTATCGCTGTTCCTTTCAAGATTTATTAATGTAGCATATTAAAAAAAATATCTAATTTGATTTTTTACATTATTCAAATGATAGTTGAACCACGTATAAATTTATAACATAATAAGATATAATAGGTTAACCTAAGATATAATAATAAATAATAATAAAATTTCTAAAGCCCAATAATAATGTTTTAAATATTGAAAAACTCAAAACTACAACATTTAATGATAAGAATCTCAAGTTAATTAAAATCGCAATGCAACCAAAAATCGTATCTTATTGGGAACCAATGGTCTCAATATATTTCCTATTGTCAAATCTCACCAGCAATTACCCCCATTTCGATTGGACTTCCTCCACATATGTGACACGTGTCCACAATAGAAGTCAAGTGAAAATCCAAAACACTTCTTGGCCCATTGACGTAAATATTTTCTACAGAAATTAACGCAAATCTCCGATATACAAATCGAGCACAAAATTTCCACTAAACCCAAAGGCTTATCTCCCCCTGCTGATCTCCCTCTATTGCCAACTAAAAGATTTTGGCTTGTCATTGAGGTCGGGGGTTGGAATTTTAGGTGGGTTGGTTGTTTGGTTTTGCGACTGTCGATACATCAAACTGCCAAGTGACAAAGTGATTCCCCTTGTTGTCAGGCTGAGACAAAGCGCAAAAAGGCGTGAAATTGCCTTTGTGTGATTAAGTCAAGCCCGGGGAAAGTGGAGTGAAATGGAAGGAAGCGAGGAAATGTCCCAGGATGCGAATTAAAAACTAAGATTACAATCTTCCGACTAGAGCTTAGACTCAGGCTACGTGCTCCTTATGCCTTGGCCCCGGCATCCTCGGCGGGTTTCAATTATCCCTGGTAAGATAGCAAAATGTAAATGCTAATTGCTTCAACTTTAGCGTAGAGCTGGCTACGTTTATTCCGGAGACAGCAGACACCTTTTCCGTGGAGATTGCGGCCTTGGTTGATGTTAATGTGCCGCCTGTCCCCTGAAATCTCTGTGCTTTGTGTGGAAGTCCTGGAGGAAACAGCTTTTTGCTGCCTGGAACTCTAAGCTAACTTTGCAGAGAAAAAATTAAATTCTATATTTATTTAGAGCTGAACTATAATTTATAATCATCTAGCCTTGAGTACCAGTAAATTGTAAAATTATATTCAAATTATAGTTTTATTTTATTTAGTTTAAAATTTTTTATACAATCCAATTGAACACAATATTTTTCTCAGTAAGATTGTTGTGCTGGTTAAGTTTCTCTGAAGTTTTGGAACACAGATTTAGATTGCATCCTGCAAGAGTCCTGAGTCCTGCACTTGCCACCCCTCATAGCCCACCGAATTTCCCTGGAGTACGGAGTAAACTAAAACCCGAGTCCTGTTCTGGATCCAATCAAGTGCTTTTCGCGCATTAAATAAAAATTCGAATTGGATTTCACGTGATCAGGGCGAGAACCTAATTGTATGAGGGTTGGAGGACTCTGCACTTGGAGGGCTGGAATTCTGAACTTTGAATCTGGAACTGGAGTATTTTGGAGGGTGGTTGCCAGCTCGCATCCACCGCCCCTGTTGCTGTTTGTTTAAATACCGTGAATAACATGTGGTTTTTTCGAAGCATATGGCAAGGACTTTGTCACTATTAAGGAGCCGTCTGGCCCGCGGCTCGTCCTTCAGTTCGCCAAATCCTCCAATTAGACTGTCATTCATTTAAACGGATTAAAAATGCGCGAACGAGGGTCGCACTTTTGGCTCTAACAAGGCCCGAGGGCCAATGCTTTAGATGGTGGTGGTGGTGGATCTTGTGGTTGCCTCCGGTTTAGTCTTAGTCGGATTAGAGCCCTTGTTTTGGTTAACAAATCGGCTGATGACGATGTCGATTCCGATTCCGATTCGATTCCAGCCCTGTTTGCTGTGCTTTGCTGTCCAATCAGTTCGAGACGCACATTCGCTCGCAATCAAGCCAGAAAAACAGAAAACATTTTCTGCTGTCATATGCAAAACGCCGACTGCACCTGAGTGGGTGGTGGTGGGTGGTGTTGCTGGGTCTTTATCTAAAATGCTTACGCTTGAGAAGCTTTCAATCGAATGCGGCATAAATATTTATGTGCCTCGATGTGGCAATATTTTCCGCAGCTCAAACACACAATTCGAACTCGTAAAACACAAACAGAACTCGCAACAGTTGCCAAGTGTTGGACTCGGTTGCTGGATAACCATAATGTCAAGAGCTCTTCAAGTGGACGAGAAGAGGCAGCAGAGAACCGGAACAGGAACATCCACTTGGGGTTCTTAAACTTAGCAGGGTGTTTGTGAGGGCATAACGGAATTTTTGTTAACTAAAACGAAAGAAAATATTTTATATTTAATATTTTAAATTAATAAGTAACAGATATCTGGAAAAAAAACTTTAAACTGCATATTTTAATAATATACTAATGATTTAATTTTTATTAAGACAAGTTTAAATTTCAATACTAATATTTATTAAATATAAATATTTTTTTGAGTTTTTTCCCCAAAGGGAATTCAACCTTCGGTCCTGAAAATTCCACAGGCACTTGTAAAACATATTCATAAGGAAAACATGCAACATTTGGCGGCTTCCTCGGTTTGAGTCGGATGTGCAGCGTATGCTCAGTGAAGCTGCACAAATGGAGCGACCACCAAGTCACCACCGGAGGACACCGTCATTACCACCAGTTGCCACCACCCCAGAAATATATCCACTGCGGGATGGGCTGACCCGCATTTAAAGTTGCCCAATACGTTTTCTGGTGCCATAAATTGCGACCCTGCCCAAGGAACCTGTTTCACTGGCCGTCTGTCCAACTGACAGGGCGGAATCGGCTTGCGAAATCAGATCTAATCAGCTCGGAATGCACAGTGCACAGTGGGTCGAATAGAGCAGAGTTCCAATTGCGGGGAGTGGAGTCCCACTGTGAGAGCCGGTCGAAAATGATGAAAACTACCCTTTAATGAAGGGGACGCGCTAGTTATAACCCGGGCAACGAAATCACACTCGCGCTGAGCAAACATCTGTGCGATTTCGATTTCGACAATGGTAACAAGGACTCTCCGAGGTCCTTTGCCCAGCCCCCGCTCGGCATTTAAAAAGTGTTTAGTTTATGGTCCATTGATGGCTTTGTTAACTCGCCGAACACTGGCATTCCCTTCGCAACTCCCTGCACTCCCTGCAACCCGGAATAGCAACCACTCCTCATGAATCTGAAATTTTCGGTTCAATCGCAACCCCGTCCGAACGATGACACCTTACGTTTTTCGACATTTACGATCTGTCCGGGGCGTTTGTCGTCGGGGTTTCTGTTCTGTTCTGTTCTCCGTCTGCCTTTAATTATGCTGAAAACCACAAAATGCTGTTAGTGCAGCATTTTTCGATTCCAATTTGGTAAAAATGCTGACATATGCGCGGGTAGATGCGCTGCGCCGCGGGATTCTCGAGTTCCCGGTTTCCAGTTCCCCCGAGTGCCCTTCGCTCTTTGACTCTCTGATTGGAACTGGTCCATGGTCGGGTGATAAACATCGCCAACTGGTGCCGCATGGGCCGACAGACTGACAAGTGAGTCGTCGATCTAATGTGGCATTAGCATATGCTGGTCCCTCTGGGCATATATACCCACCCATCCGTGCTTCGATCAGTTGCGGTTGCTGCTAAAATTCCCAATTGACTTCGCTTTAGATTGATCTACGCTCTGGATTTTACTCGGATTTTAGTTGGCAAGCCATTAATTTGATAGGCATCTTCAAAGCACTTCATTTAGATCAGCTGAAGGCTTGGTTTATCTTTGATTCATTATTCTAAGCTTAAATTGTAACCCTTGAAAAATTCGAAATAATGAGATATAGATTTAGTTATATGAGTAGAACTTTTTTGAAATTATTTATGAGTTTCTAAAATTATGGGTTCTAATGTTTAAGAAATTAGAATCTATTAGTTTAAGGGCCGGTTTCTCGAGTGCCGGCTAACATTTCTCGAACAGATAATGTCCCTGCTAAGGCATTTTGGCTTTCTCGAGCATAAATGTGAGAGCTAACTTTGACAGGGACTCGGAGTCCCTGTTAAGCGTTTTCGACTCGATAGAATGACAGCTGATTTCCCAAAGCCAACTATGAAGAAAAAACGAAATCACAGTTGACTTTTCCTTTGAATTATACCCAAACAGCTTATGAAATAATCGAAGCATGCCATTTTTTGCACGTTACAGTGCGTTAACAGCACTCTGTAATTGTTTCTCGTTCAGATAAATTAAAGCAGTCGAGAAAGCGGATTTGCTTTTACGAACAGTTTATCTGGTCTTTAAGTTTTTCGAACAGATAGCTATCAGGGACTTTGACAGGGACTCGAGAAAGCGGCCCTAAAGCACACAAAATTTAGCATTCTCTCTCCAAAATGTACCATGCTTTTTCCATATTTTCTTTAAAGGTTAAACCATTTAATATTGTACTTTAATGCTTTTTCCTTCGCTCCAATAAACAATCTATAATTTTTGCGCCTTGAGTGCTCATCGAATTTTCATAACATTAGTTTTCTCTGCTGCCAATTTGGCTGCATTATCATATGTAATGACGTCGTTTCTTTGATTTCGTTTGCCTGCGCTTCGAGTTCAAACACCTTGAACAAATATTTTACTTGCCTCAGCTTTTTGGGGGCTCCAGAATCCCACAAAACCCACCTTCATTTTGCTGTTGATTTTCAAAATCGAATCTTGAATTAATCATGCGGAATAAATTTACTCTAGGTTTACTCTCAAAATGTGCCTTAAACGAGAAATAATTGTGAAAGAAAAAAGAAGAAGTAATAATAATGGTATCCATTTCTGCATTTCTCCGCGGGCTAATTGAATTAAAATTGCGATTCCATTTTAGGCCATTGCTTCATGCGTATAAATAATATTCTATTCCATTCGAATCGAATAACCAAAATCGAATGCGAAAACAGCGAAATTTATGACAGGCAGGCAAGATTTACGCTTGTGGCTTCAATTTCTGCCGGAGAGTTCAATAACTTTTCGGGGTGGATTAGAGCATAATTCCATTGTCATGGTAATTTATGAGCTTAGTTTCCATTGTTGTCACTGTTTTCGAGCCGATATTGTTGTTGTCGCTGCTCTTCCAGCTTTGCAGATATTTGCAACATTAGCGCGGAATTATGGCATCCATTACGAAGGATTCTCGCATATGTGCCTGGGTCCTATAAAAGCATTCGAATATTCCTCATATGTCGAAATGTTGATGCTGCAAATGGACCACGGCAATTACATTAAGCGTTTGCCAAATCTTCTTTTGAAAGTCCTTTAAAACTGGGTCACACTTTTCAATCGGGTGCTAAGTGGTTGATTCGTTTTTGGTAGCGAATCGTTGGTGTCAGTTTAGTGGTTTACTTATTACATATGCGCATATTTTAATGGACTAGGCTTTTTCCTGGGGGTTGGTTTGAAGAAGTTGGCGTTGATTTAATGAACGAATGAATGTTTGAGGAATGAGAAGAAATATGGTATGATTTACTTTTATTGAGCTTTACCATAAATGGAATATGTAGTTGATTTCATCATTTAATTATTATATTATAACTATTAAATGACGCACACTGGGGCGCCTAGAACAAAAAGCCTGCCAAAATGTTTTTTTTTTTTTTAAGATTTCCCAAAATGTTGCAATGCAACTTCAAAAACAATTGAATTCTCTATACACATCAAAAGGAAAGAGTGATCTGTGTTAAATGGTTCTCCCACTACAGATTTATAAAGTGGATTTTTCGAAATATAATTTTAGCCAATAAGAAAAAAAGGTATTTTTACACATCTTTGAAATTTTTCTGAAAGCGCCCAAGGGCCTAAGTCGTATATGTAACGATTGAAATTTTAAGAGCAACCAATTCTTAAAATATTAAAAAAAAAATAAAAATTTTAGATACATAATTACTATTTTTTTTAATTTTTTAAAAGTGGTCCAAAAAAAAGGGATTTTTTGGATATCCTTGGACGTAAAGTAGTGTTACACCCTAGATCCCCGTTTAATTCTTTTTTTAAAAAAAGTTTAGATATTTAACTACATATTCTGAAAAAATTAGCCTGCCCTTTTGTGCCTCTTCTGAGAAAACCGCAGTTTAAGTTAGCAAGAAATGTTCATAATTTGAAATATCGTCAGCCCTGGTTCATTCGCGCGCCCTAACATCATGAAGATATTTTACTTATGTGAAGGTATTGATGAAGATAATGATAAATTAATAAACAAATTTGGGTTTAAAATTTTAAATTATGTTATTTTACTAAAAATACATATATGAAGTAAATACCGGTTTCTACCAGTTTTTTTTTGAAAATATGCTATATTTCCTTGATTGATTCTATGACATCTATAAGATATCATTGACCAATTAAAAAAAAGGTAAGCATAGAGCTAAAATGATAAATATTGACTTAATCCCAATTTATATGAACCAATATTGAAATAGAACCGAGACATTCCCCTTTGTAATAAGCGTTTATATGGCAGCTATAAGATATAGTTGACCGATTTGAATAATTTTTTTTTTCAAAAATCAAGTTAAATTAAAAAAAAATATTGGGAAACTTAGAACCCTATAAGTAATTTATTTATATTTTTTTTCTTAAAAAAACAATTTATTTTTTCTTAAAAAATTTCTACAACAAAAAAATTTCACTAAAAAAATTCACCTTATGATGTTTTTTTACATATTTAATTGCCTTCAACAATGCCCCATCAAAAGATATTCGATATAGGGCTCCGCTGATTTAAGGCAGACTTTTGGCTTTTTCGCCCCAATGTGTGACGGTTAATATTAATTATTGTTAAAATTCTGTAAAAAATAAGCTTTGGCAGCTGATCTATTGGCTTTCCTATCCCCACATCCAATGATTTGATCCACAATTAGAGCCCCTCCGTTCAGCTGTTTGTATTTGGCAGTGATATGTTTCCTCACATAATCCACCACATCCTGGGCCTCCAGTTGGGTTCCTGGTTTCTTGACCACCGAGGCAGCTGCCTCATCTCCATTCACTGGGTCCCATATCCCAAAGACACATGCCTCCACAACATTTGGCATTTCGGCAATGACACTCTCTATCTCGCTGGGATAATACATGATGTTCTGGTACTTCAGCATATCCTTTAGGCGATCGATAACAAATAGAAATCCGTCTTCGTCCATGTAGCCTAGGTCTCCGGTGTGAATCCAGTTTTCGGGGTCCAGAATTTTTTTAGTTTCCTCGACGTCCTTATAGTAGCCAGCCCATTTTTGGCCGCTATTTAAGCAGATTTCACCAACTTCATTAGGTCCTTGAGCCGCGCCTTGTTCGTTGATTATCTTGACTTTAATTCCGTTAGCAGGACGCCCCACCGAATTGGGTTTTCCGTCGAAGTTTAAGTTAACGCTTGCAGCGCAGTTTAACTCAGTTACACCGTAACAAAAGTGTAAGCAATCGCGGTCAACACGGCTACGCACTTTATGCTGAACATCCAGGGAACAGTTTGAACCTCCATAAAAGAAGTACTTCAGAGATGATAGGTCTGCCGATTCAAAATCCGGACTGTTGGCAAAGCTGGCTATATATGAGGAATTTAAAAGCAATGCATTGATCTCATATATCTCAATTATGCTGCACAACAGCTTAGGATCGAAGTCGCGGTCTGCAATAATGCTAGTTGTACTGAACACTCCAGAAACAATGGTCATCATTAGACCCGACAACCAGTCCAAGGTGCTCGTTGTATACTGAACCATCGAGCTGTCTATGGGACTGCAAAGGATACGAATTTTAATGGTAATCAACTGAAAATATTTAAGCTTACATGTTCACAATGAGCTGATGACTGTTGCTGATGGTGACTGCCTTGGGAACTCCCGACGTTCCGGAAGAACTAAGAATGGCCAGTGTCTGGTCATTACCATGTTCTAAACGGATGGGCTGGAAGTTCTCCTCCACTGGAGTGCTCAAAATATCCTGGATTCGTAGGGATCCCTTCGGATGATTCCGCATAGTAACTATCCTTACTCGGAGGTTTCTAGTGGCTGCTCGAACCTTTTCGAACTCATCTCCATCGCAGAATATCAGCCGGGGCATAGTCAGCCCGAACAGTTGCTCGATAGTCGACTCTTCATAGGCGTTGTGAAGGGCGTGGAAGGGGGTTCCGTTGAAGAAACAGGCATAAGCTACAGCCGCCAGGTGAGTGGTTTGCCTGCCCATGACTCCCACGATGTCCTCTTGTCCCAGGCCCATTTTCCGCATATAACTTGCCACTCGCTTGGCATTCATGTGAAGCTCTTCCCGGGTCAGCACACTGTCCTCCGTTACGGAGATCTGAAAGGTTAGTGGCAAATATATCAGTCTTACTTCTAAAGAACCTAAAACGAACCTGAGCGATGAGATTCGGGTGGCGTTCCATTTCCTGAAAGATTATCTCTCCGATGGACAGGTCGGGTGAAAATAAACTTTGCCTTTCGCCACCAGTCCAGATCTTCAGGTTATCATCGTAAATGCTTTCAGCCTTGTATGACTTTTCACTTGCTTTTTCATTACCCATTATGGCAAACACGGGACAATTTGCCAGATTTATAGCAAGTGTTTGTTTAATCGCAAGATCAGCTGTTATGAACAGTTTGCAATCGAATCACTTTTTCTGACCGTTCCGGACGATTGGAGAATTGCATCTAAGCTCAAATCAAAATTGCACTGGTAAATAAGTGCAGCTTAATCTTCTTCTATATTGACGTAAGAAAAAAAGAGATAACCGTCAAAGCTCAAATAAAGAGTAGTTACATAGTATTTAAAATAAGTGTATTGTACTTGTAATCAGGTGTACATACAAACTAAAGCTTATCTTATCTCTTCGAGGGTCATATTTGAAATGTATTTACTCAGTTTTATACTCATGGTGAGGTGAGTTCAGTAACAATTTTGCAGCACATTCCAACTCTATAAAGTATATAAATTCAGTCGACCTAGTTATGTCTCTCTTGTTGATATTTATGATCATATTCTCTTTTAATACGGAAGATATACATATATAACATTTTTGTAATTTTTAAAATTTCTAATAAAATTTTATAAAAATCTGGAAAAAGGATCGGAAAATAAAAGTCAATATTTATATTGAAATTTATTAGCTTTTAATACCTATACTTAAGTCAATCAAAATTAATTAGAAATGTTCAAGAAATTTATTATCAGATTTATTAGGCAAATAAAAGTACACACGAGAACACGGCCCTTTAAATTATTTTTTAAATTTAACATACATAAATAAAATCACAAATATTTCCATTTAAATGTTAGACTAAGTGAAACATACAACATATAACATCTAACACTTGTTCATAATTTGTAAAAAGTTAGCTTTTGTGGCTGCTCGGCTTGCTTTTCTATTAGCACTCTGAACAATTCGATCGACAATTAGAGCCCCTCCGTTCAGCTGTTTGTATTTGGCAGTGATATGTTTCCTCACGTAATCCACCACATCCTGGGCCTCCAGTTGGGTTCCCGGTTTCTTGACCACCGAGGCAGCTGCCTTATCTCCATTCACTGGGTCCCATATCCCAAAGACACATGCCTCCACAACATTCGGCATTTCGGCAATGACATTCTCTATCTCGCTGGGATAATACATGATTGTGCGATACTTCAGCATGTCCTTTAGGCGATCAATAACAAAAAGATAACCGTCGTCGTCCATGTAGCCGAGATCTCCAGTGTGAAACCAGTTCTGAGTGTCCTGCATATTTCTGGTTTCCTCTGGATTCTTATAGTAGCCAGACCATTTTTGACCGTTATTGAAGCAGATTTCACCAATGTTGTTAGGTCCTTGGGCCTCACCCTGTTCGTTGATAATTTTTACCTTAATGCCCTTAACCGGTCGGCCTACAGAATTGGGTTTCTCTTCGAAGTTGAAGTTCATGCATCCCGGGCTGTTTAACTCGGTTAGCGTATAACTAAAGTTAATGCATTCGGGGCTAAGACGGCTGCTCACTCTTTTCTGAGCTTCCAGTGAACAATTTGATCCACCATAAAATAAGTACTTTACGGAAGAAAGATCAGCTGTTTCGAATTCCGGGCAGTTAGCTAGCATGGCCAATTGTGAAGAACTTATGAACACCAATGAGATTCTATACTCTCTTATTAAACCACACAAGGAGCCAGGATCAAAGTCACTGTCTGAAATAATGCTCGGTGTGCCAAAGACGCCAGAATTGATGGTCATCGAGATTCCCGAAGCCCAATCCAATGTGTTTGGGTTATAGTTAACTAGGGAAGTATCCACGGCGCTGGAATGGAGTTAAATATTATGGGTAAACCTGATTTTGTTAAGTTTACTTACAGAAAGCTCGCAATAATCTGGTGACTATTGCTAATAGTAACTGCCTTTGGAAGGCCCGATGACCCAGAGGAACTAAGAATGGCCAGAGTTTGATCAGTACCCTCTTTCAAACGGACTGGCTGAAAGTTCTCCCCCACGGTAGTCCCCAAAATATCCTCAATCCGTAGTGATCCCTTCGGATGATTCCGCATAGTAACTATCTTCACTTGCAGGCTTTCAGTGGCTGCCCGAACCTTTGCAAACTCATCTCCATCGCAAAAGATTAGACGAGGTCGAGTCATTCCAAATAGTCTCTCGATTGCCGACTGTTCGTACTCAGTGTGCAGGGCATGATATGGGGTTCCATTGAAGAAACAGGCGTAAGCCAGAGCCGTCAAGTGGGTGGTGAGTCTGCCAATGATTCCCACAAATTCTCCTTGCTTCAGGCCCAAGTTTCGCATATATGTAGCCACTCGCTTCGCATTCTCGCGTAGTTCTCCCCAAGTCAACACTGTGTCCTCCGTTACGGAGATCTAAATGTTTTTCACAAAATAAATTGATTACGACTTTCGCTTAATTCACGACAAACCTGAGCTATGAGTTTTGAATGACGCTCCATTTGCCGGAAGATAATCTCTCCGATGGACAAGTCGGGGGAAAATAAACTCCGCTTTTCGCCACCACTCCAGATTTTGAGCTTATCATCATAGGTGTTTTTTGTTTTGAACGGCGATTCGCCTGCTCGAAAATCTCCCATGTTTTATAAAATCTAAAAAATTAATTTCGTTGCTTGTGCTTTCTTTATCAATTGCAGTTTCGTATAGGTTAAGTCCTCCTACAGTTGCTTTGAGAAAATAAGAGGAAAGAGCATACACGAGAAAGAGGAAAGCTTAAAAACTCGTTTTAAAAGCTCCAAATGAGGTCTTACTATGTTAATTAGTGCTGACTTGATCTTTCTTTAATCATTGTTTAGAACAAGAAAATGTAAATAAAATAACAATTTATATGTATACATATATATACCCAAGTATAAAATACAAAATACAATTAATATGGAAAAATCTTCAATTTGTTTGAATACATTTTATATTTAAATATAACATTTATAACAACTGTATTTTATAAATAAAATTTAAACTTGAATTGTACTTAATATTCATGGGAAACTACAGAGCTCAGGTTATATTATCGTTTATCCAGTCAATATGGTGAGACAGATCGCAGTACTGGTGACGATTACATGTGTGGTCGACTTTGAATTCCCCGCTAGATGCAATTCCCCGGAGTAGCCATCGATCGCCCTGATGGACCATCAGTCCTCCGCCGAAACATGGACCAGATCCTTCGCTATTTACCGAGCACAGGCTTTCCTCCTTCACTAAGTCGCTTAGACTCGGATTTGCGCGGATACAGTCCGTGGCATTGAAGATCTCCACCTCTATTACCCAAGGATACTGCTTTTCAGAGCTATCCCTATGTATTTTCCATCCCGCAAGGACTCCCGCAGTGCTCACTGTACGGCTCGCCTCCGCCGACCACAAGCAAATCGGTGCTATAATGTTGTTGAACCTACAAAATTTTTTTTTACAAAGTAAATATAATATATTGCAAAAGCAATATTCTTCTGTGGTACTTACGTGACTGGCCGTTCCATGGTGATCAGCGCGATATCCACTTTGGAATTAAGAATGGTTGTGACTTCCGGATGGGAATGCAGTCGCTTTACGTTACGCAGCTCGGTCCCTACTTCTGGGAAATTATTCAGATCATGTAGACCTAATCCGATGACCACGCTGTTCTCCTGCTTCTGGTAAACACAGTGGGCGGCGCTTATAACCACACTGGCGGAGATCAGAGTTCCCACGCACTTGAATAAAAGAGCGCCTGATTCCTTGTCATAGATGGCAGAAAGCCAGGGATATCGTCCCAGGGGGAATTTCTTGCCCTGCACAAAATGCGGAGCTATGTTGCCCTGTCTGCCGCAAACTATTGGTGATGAACGGGAACTGTCCAGTGATTCATTTTTGAGAAACTCATAGGACCGAGTGTAGTAGGTTACGTATAGAACGTCTGAGTAAGGGTTCAAACGGTATTAGGTATTTAATTTACGCTCATTCCAGATCTAAAAACTCACATTCGTCGCTCGAGCAGAGCGGCTGATCGTTGTAAGAGAGTAGCCCCAACTTGGGCAATCCATGGGTCGGACTGTGTTTGAGGGCTATCCGAAACTTATAGGGCCCGGTGCTCAATTGAGTTCCTTTCTCATCCGGATACGGTTTCAGCTGACCCACGGAGGTGTCCTGCGGATGACGAGGAGAAAGAGTGATCGGTGATCAGAGCCAATTCATTGCGACTTTCGCTGGCCAGCTCATACATACATCTTGATCACCCATCTGAGAGAAAACCAAGTCGATGCGATTGTGACCCTGCTTCAAAGTGGGCAGCGTGATCTCGCCTTGAAGACCGAGAGAACTGTTCACATATTGGAAGTATTTAGTACACGACTTCTCCGGTGGAATCTGTCCCATCGCCAAGGAGATTAGCGACGCCACGATGGCCAGCTCCATTTCCATACTTCCTGAATACTCTGAATCTTCCGAGCGTGACAAGCACCAGTTTGCAACTAAATCTAGTTGCGAGTACCGAGTATTGCTTTTTAAATCGGAAAAACTGGAAATTCCACATTTGCCGTAGCTTTAGCACTTGTAACTAAAGCTAGGAAATTCTGATGGCTTATTTAAGGGAAGAGAGATATAGAAATATGCACTCTACGAGTAACGGGTATAGCTACTGAATGCCTAAAACGATAAATTAATTGCTAGGTGAAATGATAATGAAAAAAAATGTTGAATCATTTTTAATACATTTTATATTTAACTAAAATGTTTTGGATTGAGGTCGAATGTTCAACGGATTTTATTCGCACATTTTCATTGTTCCAATAAATGCCTTTTTAAATGTTCCGTTTAATATATGTACCCAATAGGATCGCCAATACAAAGCTTAGGTTATATTTTCTTTTATCCAGTTAATATGCTGGGCCACATCGCAGTACTCTACGTATTGGTTGGAGTTGCATGAGCCGTTAGGTGCTGTTATCCAGGAAGATGCAATTCCCCGGAGTAGCCATCGATCGTCTTGTAGGACCATCAGTCCTCCGCCAGAATCGCCGTAACATGGGCCCTGCGATGCATCGCGTTTTGCTGCGCACAGCCTGGGATCTCTCCATACGATTTCATCACGAACACAGTCCTTGGGACTCAGTATCTCCACCTCCACAACCCAAGGATACTGCGACTCGGAACTGTTCTTCTTTGTTTCCCATCCCGCAATGATGCCAGCCTTGCTATACTTACCGACCGAGTTCGCAGCCCACAGGCAAATCGGTGCTATAATTTCGTTGAACCTAAAATATAACGTTTTTTTTGACAAAGTAAAATTACACAATATCCGAAATTTTTTGTCAAGGACCAACACTCTTCTACCTACGTGACTGGCCGATCCATGATGATCAGCGCGATATCCACATCGGGAATGAAGTAGTTTTCGAATTCCGGATGGGAGATCAATCGCTTTGCATTTCGCCTATTGGCCCCAATCTCCAAGTAATTACTTAGATCATGTACACCTAATCCGATGAGCACGCTGCTCTCCGACATCTTGTACACACAGTGGGCGGAACTGATGACGACACTGGCGGAGATCAGGGATCCCCCGCACTTGTAGCTTCCACTGACTGGAGCTGAATCCTTGTGAAAGATGGCAGAAAGCCAGGGATACCGACCTAGTGGGAACTTCTTTCCGCCTATAACAAACGGAGCTATGCTGCCCTGCCTTCCGCAAACACTTGATGACGAAGGTGGACGGTCCAGCGATTCATTTTTGGAAAACTCATAGAAGCGTGTGTAGTAGCTGACATATAGAGCGTCTGAATGAGGGGTTTTAAAAATGTATCTTAATTCCAATTAAAAACTCACATTCGCCGCAGAGCAGCTGATCATTGTAGGCCAGTTGCGACAGCCTAGGCTTCCTATTGCTCAGACTCTGTTTGAGGGCGATTCGGAACTTATAGGGTCCGGTGCTCCATAGAATTTCCCTTTCATCCGGGTACGGTTTCAGCTGACCCACGGATGTGTCCTGTGAAACACAAGAGGAAAAGTGATCAGTTTGTTTATCATTATCGCGCAGATCGCTGTCCAGCTCACACATACATCTTGATCACACATCTGGGAGAAAACCAAGTCGATGCGATTGTGACCCGGCTTCAAAGTGGGCAGCGTTATTTCGCCATAAATTTCCTCAGCAGTATTGTTTACATATTGAAAGTAGTTAGAGCACGAGCTCTCCGGCCGAATCTGTCCCATCGCCAAGGAGAGTAGCGATACAACTACGACCAACTCCAGACCCATATTTTTCTGAATATTCTCTACCTTCCGAATGCAACCAGCAACTGCCGGCAAATAAACCTAACTGCGGGAACAGAGAGTTGTTTCGCAACGCGTCGGGTTTTTGAGTCAGTGATCAGGAAAACTGGTAATTCCACATTTGCCGTAGCTTTAGCACCTATACCTTAAGTCATACTTTTACCTAGACTGGGAAATTCTGCTGCTTCCCATAAATATAGTAAGTAATTCAATGTTAGAATTTTATTGATAAATGCAACTTGGAACTTGTTTACACTATTACTGAAATTCTACGGGCTTTTATATCGGCTATCGCTTTAATCTTTTTATAACACCTAGCTTAGCTAGTTAGCTTAATATTTAAATTAATTGAGTTTTGAGGTGATCTCCTATTAGTGCCTCCTTCTCCCCTATAACAGATGATAATGTTACATTGTTTAGAAAAGGCTGTGAAAATTTAATTGAATTAAAAAGCGATTTTTAATTAAGTACAAATTAATTTATGGCTTGGCATTTTTTCTCTGTTAAAATTATGAGCTCAACGAATATTATCGTTTATCCATTTAATATACTTGGACAAATCGCAGAACAGTACATACTCGCTAAGGTCACAGTTTAATCCAGAGCGTTTTGAAAGCAATACAATGCCCCGGAGTAGCCATCGCTCGTCCTTCAAGACCATCAGTCCTACGCCAGACTCGCCGACACATCCAAGCTGTGCTCCATTCCTAGTTTCCACGCAAAGAGTTTGCTCCGGCAGCGTAAGGCCTTTAAAATTCCTGGCACAGACCTCGGGACTGGCTATCTCCACCTCCACAACCCAGGGGTAGTCCTTATTGGACACAGTCTCCGTGGATTCCCAGCCAGCAACGATGCCATGTGTGCTCTGCATACGGCTTGCCTCCTCCGTCCACAAGCAAATTGGAGATATATTTTTGGTGAACCTAGGAAACACATATAGAAAGATTTTTGACAGTATAAAACAAGACAGTGCCTGGACCATAAAATACCCGTCACAGTTTTAATACTTTTTGGTTGTGTAAAACTGATCAATTATCAATTTAAAACAAATTCAAAATAAGCGCTATAAAGATTATAGCGTTGTAATCGAAGGTTCATATTTACATACATGACTGGCCGCTCCATTGTGATCAGTGCGATATCAGCTTCGTTAAAACCATTGTTTTTGACTCCCGGATGGAAAAGCAATCGCTTCACATTTCGAGTCTCAGCTCCATCCTCTCCGTATTTATCCAGAACATGAATACCCAGTCCGATAACCACGCTCTTCTTCGTTATGTTGTGCACACAGTGGCCGGCACTGATGACAACACTGGCCGAGATCAGGGTTGCCACGCACTGAAAGCTTAGAGTACCGGATTCCTTTATAAAGATGGCAGAAAGCCAGGGATACCGACCCGGGGGAAAACTCCTGCCTTGAGAAATATACGGGCCCATGTTGCCCCGTTTGCCGCAAACTTTTGGTGATACAGGAATACGTTCCAGCGATCCATTTTTGAAAAACTCATAGGAACGAGTATGGTAGCTGACATATAGAACGTCTGAAAGGTTAAGATAATTATAATAATGGATTGCAATTGCAATTAAATACTCACATTCGCCGCAGAGCAGCTGATTATTGTGGGCGAGCTGCGACAATTTGGGCTTTCCATTGGCCACGCTCGGACTAAGAAAAATCCGGAACTTATAGGGTCCCGTTCTCCATTGAATTTCTTTTTCATCCGGATACGGTTTCAGTTGACCCACAAAAAAGTCCTGCGGAAATGGAAGGAGAGGCAGTGATCAGCGTCAATGAATTGCGAAAATTGGTGGTCAGCACCTACATCTTGATCACCCATCTGGGAGAAAACCAAGTCGATGCGATTGTGACCCTGCTTCAAAGTGGGCAACGTGATCTCACCCTGGAATTCCTCAGCAGTATTGTTTACATATTGAAAGTATTTAGAGCACGAGTTCTCCGGCCGAATCTGTCCCATCGCCAAGGAGAGTAGCGATACTCCGACGACCAACTTCAGACCCATATTTTTCTGAATTTTCTCTACCTTCCGAATGCAACCAGCAACTGGCGGCAAATAAACCTAACTGCGGGAATAGAGAGTTGTTTCGCAACGCGTCGGGTTTTTGAGTCAGTGATCGGGAAAACTGGAAATTCCACATTTGCCGTAGCTTTAGCTCTTATATCTTAGGTCATACTTAGTCTAGGAAACTCTGCTTCTTTCCATAATGGATACGAACCAAGCGTAAATCGATCTAGTTGCGACCCTTCGCCAAAGTGGGCAGCGTGGTCTCGCCTTGGACTTCATCGGCACTACCGTTTACATACTGGAAGTACTTAGGACACGAGCTCTCCGGCAGAGTCTGACCCATTGCCAAGGAGATTAGCGATACAATGACAACATTCGCACCCATATCTTTTTAGAATTCTCGATCGGTTAATTGAAATTGATGGCCGGCCCTACGGGCTTTCGAGCAGCCAACTTGAAATTCCACATCTCCTAAAATACTAAAAATTATTCTTTTATATAAGCCAGAAAATTCTTTATAATATGTTATAATAAGTTCCTAAATTTGCTTGTATTTTTTATTCAAGTTCAAAGTATGTTATGGTATGGAATTTTTTTCTCGGTAAATACACTCATAGCTAATTAGGTGCTATCCACTAATATTATCGTTTATCCAGTTAATATACTTGGACAAATCGCAGTACGGTACATACTCGTTAAAGTCACACTCTAGGCGTTTCACTAGCACTATGCCCCGGAGTAGCCATCGATCTCCCTGCAAGACCATCAGTCCTACACCGTGGTCGCCGACACATGCCCCACTGCGGTGTCCCGCGCACAAAGTTCTATTCGAAAGCGAAAGCGCCGTAAAAGCCAAGGCACAGACTTCGGGACTGGCTATATCCACCTGCACAACCCAGGGATTATCATATTTGGAGCTAGTTAATTCCCAACCCGCAACGATGCCATGGGTGCTTTCCATTCTGCTCGCCTCCTCCGTCCACAGGCAAATTGGCGATATTTTTTGGTTAAACCTAAGAAAACACAGACAATGTTTTAACAGTGCAAAAATATCACAATTGTGATTTTATTCTTTTAGACGTTTCTTATTGAGTGAAAGGGTATATTCATTTTGTTAGAAAGTATGAAGCGCTAAAATAAGTTACTTAAATGCTTATTAAAAAAAAAACAAGAGAGAACGCTATAGTCGAGTGCCCCGACTATCAGATACCCGTTACTCAGCTAAAGGGAGTCCGAATGAGATGGAGATAAAAACTTTGATCCGCCGTAACTTTTTAACGAATGGTCCGATTTAAAAAATGAACTCCTAGAATCTGCATTCAAAATGTCAATCTTCTAGCTTTTATAGTTTCCGAGATTTCAGCGTTCATACGGACAGACAGACAGACGGACATGGCTATATCGACTCGGCTGGTGACCCTGATCAAGAATATATATACTTTATAGGGTCGGAAATGCTTCCTTCTAGCTGTTACATACTTTTGCACGAATACAATATACCCGTTTACTCTACGAGTAACGGGTATAAAAATAACACGAAATTTAATATTATGTAGTATGTAATTACATGGGAATGATAAGCTTCAGCTGGCTGAAATTGGCTTCCTCCTTTTGTTTTTTTCATAGTTTTAGTATTATATGGTTTATAATACTTTACTTTAGAGTGGAATATGAGTAACTACGAGAAACTACTTATGGAGTAACTACTAAACTGGCGTCTATTTATTATTAATGCATTATAGGCAGAATCAATTTTAAGTTACAACACTGATTTATACATACGTCACTGGCCGCTCCATGGTGATCAGCACGATATCCGCTTCGTTAAAAGAATCGTTCTTAACATCCGGATGCAAGAGCAATCGCTTCACGCTTCGAGTCTCGGATCCATCATTTCCGAAGCTATCCAGATTATGAAGACCGAGTCCGATGAACACGTCGAACTCCGTCTTCAGATGCACACAGTGTGCGGCACTGATGACAATACTGGCGGAGATCAGGGTTGCCACGCACTCGAAGCTTAGAGTATTTTCTTCCTTTAGAAAGATGGCCGATAGCCAGGGATATCGACCCAGTGGGAAATTCTTGCCCCCTATAACAAACGGAGCTATGCTGCCCTGCCTTCCGCAAACATTTGGTGACAAAGGGGAACGGTCCAGCGATCCATTTTTGAAAAACTCATAGAAGCGAGTCTGGTAGCTGGCATAAAGAACGTCTATAAGAAGGTTTAGGTAATTTTAAGAGTGTATCTTAATTCCAAATAAAAGCTCACATTCGCCGCAGAGCAACTGATCATTGTAGACGAGTTGCGACAACTTGGGTTTTTCATTGGCCACGCTCGGACTAATAGTAATCCGGAACTTATAGGGTCCGGTTCTCCATTGAATTTCTTTTTCATCTGGATACGGTTTCAGCTGACCCACGAAAAAGTCCTGCGGGAATGAGGGAAGAGGGAGTGATCAGTGTCAATAAATTGCAAAAATCATACATACATCTTGATCACCCGTCTGAGAGAAAAGCAAATCGATGCGATTGTGACCCTGTTTCAAAGTGGGCAGCGTGATCTCTCCCTGAATTTCCTCGGCAGTAACGTTTACATATCGGAAATATTTAGAACACGAGCTCTCCGGCCGAATCTGTCCCATCGCCAACGAGATTAGCGATAAAATGACAACTAACTCCAGATTCATATCTTTATGAATTTTTCGATCGGTTAAAGCAATTGATTCCGCAAGTGACAAGCAACAACGAGCAAATAACACTGATTGCATGTATCGGATTGCGTGTAGTGTTCATAGTTTAAATAGAATCTCAACGAGTTTTTCAGTCACTTGGCGTCGGTTTTAGTGAGAAGTTCTCACTGAGAACTGGAAGTTCTCCCTCTATTGCTCTCCATTAAAAGTCTGACAGACTTTTTATTGTAATTGTGCAAAGATCTGAGATTCGAGATCCGATCAAGTGTTCTCGAATTTTATAAAAATTGGTTGCAATTTGATGCGAACAAATCAAAAAATAAGAAGATTCTTTTTCTGAGTGTTCGTTTTCTATAATAATTATTATTGATTATAATCAATTTTAATATTTTTGTTTACTTATGCAGTGATTAATTGCCAAGGCTGTTTTTGGGTCCCGCTGATAATCCGATTGCTGGAAATCATCCCATAACAAAACACTCAAAAAGATATCGGAAGGTATTTCCGCAAATGGTCAGCTGGGCACACCCAGAGAAATGTGGGACTATTTTTTAGGTAACGTATGACCTAAAAAATTTAAATAGACTAAAATTTCAGATTTAGGTAATGGGTTACCTAAAAATATTAGCATGTGGACTATGTTCCTACTTTTTAGGTAAAGCTAAAGAGATTTTTATAGGCCATCGTAACCTTCAAATTGGTCCATAAGACCTAAAATTTAGGAATAATTTAAAGTCGATTATCACTCACAACTTAATACAAATATTGGTCCCTAATATTAATAAACAAATTATTCGGTTTTTTAAGTTTAATGTTAAAAAATTTATTAGACTTTTCTTAAAGCTAGTGATGGAAAAGTTTCAATATATAAAATCAATACCTACGTGGACTATTTTCCTACTTTTAAGGTAATAGTGCCCTATTCTAAAAATAGAATTCGCCTGAGCCCCTTGAAGCAGGCTTTGGTTTTGCCGCATGGCCTTCAAGTAGTTCCGTAGACCAGAGGCTAGCCTATTGGACTCTCGCGCAGAAGACCCGGGATCGATTCCCACCGAGGACAAAATAAAGTGATTGTTTTTTCAGAAAGATAAAATATTTGCTTTTCCGAATAATACAATATAAGCAATTAAAATAATCAAATATGTTACTATCAATAGTAAAAATCCTAGCTTTTTTTTAAATACCTAATATTTAGGTAATTCTGACCTAAAAATCTAGTCCACTAGCCATTTTTTTAGGTAACCATTACCAGAAATAAATTCAAGACTGCGTACAAAATATAGTCCACATGGACAACATTTTAGGTAATGCATGGCCTTGGCGCGTTTTTCTGGCCATATTTCCTAAAATTTTAGGTAATTAGGCCCCTTTTTAGTCCATTTTGTTTTCTGGGTGCAGCTTGGTGGAATACCCACCACCCACTACCCACAAGATTATGATAATAGGCATCACTGAAAGAGAGGATTATGGTCTTGGAAAACAAGTGGATTAAGGGGTTGACAATTGGGGGAATGTCCTTTGTGGAATTTGGCTTTTGCGTTTTGCATTTGTTTTTACGATTATGAGCGACATGGATGGATCGGCATCAGAATCATTCCGTTCTGCCTTCTATTCCACTGTCCCCCTCAACCAACAGGGGACTAATAAGTAAAATGTGTTTTTCAAACATTGATTCTGGTCAGTAGTGCGTGGTGAGTGGGTGCAGACATGAAACACCCCCTTTTCGAGTCGACAACATTTGTCATACGGCCAAGACAGCCTCAACAGTTGTTGGCGATTATCATTTTGACAGTTGCTTCTCGCTTCGCTTTTGTTTCAGTTCCCTTGGCTGCGTTTTGAGCCTTGATTTATGCATTTTTAAGCGGTTCACTTATTGTTTCTGCGCACAAATATGGCCGTGTATCTCGGTATCTGCAAGATACACAGCCCTTTCCGCGTAATTTGTTGATTTATTGCGAGGCATCTTCATTAAGCACTGGCTTCCGCTTTTTTCGGCCAAAACCACCTTCAAACCACCTTCTCGTAGCGCCCATAATTCGCTTTCATTATCATTATCCTGCCGGCATTGTCCTTCGTCTCGTTTGTCATGCTCGGTGCGTCTGCTTAAGTTTTCGCACGCTCCAACGCCTCGGCATCCTTGGCTTCCTTGGCGCAGCCTTCTACTCGTCGTTGTAGCTGTGGAAATTGAATTGAAAACGTGCTGAAGCGTTAAATGCTCTTGTGTCAACTGTTCCCAATCCCCGCGTCCCCCTGTCCCACCCGAAGTGTCCTTCTGTCCATCACTTTTCGTCCTGTGTGTGGCGACATATGAGAATTGGTAACCTCAGCACAAGCTGCTTCCCTCCGCTCCTCTCTGTCCCCCAGAAAGTTCCCGGCCAAGTGGCACGAGCAAGCGTCGCATAATTAATTCGAAATTGCATCCGTAAAGGATTTTCAAGTTTCGGTGGTCGAAACTAACCTGAAAGAGCTTTGGGGATTTACTGAAAATCTGTTTTCCTATATGTTGGGTATTTACAATTTAGTTTTGGATCCTAACGAAAAAGTTAAGTACATTTTTTCAGTGCGGGTAAAGGGTCAGTTAATGAACCGGAGAATTTAAAAACTAGATAAATTTACCCTTTAAGTAAGTTGGATTTCTGGAATGGGCCGCAAGGAGAAACAATTAAATGATATCCATAATACCTATTTTCTTTCTTTTAAGTTGATATTAATCACAAATGGCGGAATTAAACAGAAAAGGAGGAATTTAAACTGTCAAAATAATCGATAAGATGTATCGATTTATCGAACCGTTGGCGTACATTTACATTTGCTTTACATTTCGAAATATTTTACATTACATTATACATTGTAATGACCCAAAAGTTCCAAGTATGACCGCATTGGGCGTTTTGGCGCCATATACATGTCAACTTAGAATAAATGGGCGACATCTAGCGATTGTAGACTGAACTTGTCGATTTATGGGAGAGGGAGAATGAGGTATTTATATACCACCAAAAATACCTATTGTGTTAGTTAATTTTGTTAATTTTTATGATATTTAAGATAACTATTATTATATCTTATTATTATTATTAGCTAACGAGAGAGATTGGTGCTACCAGACCAGGAAGAAGAAATGGCGCCTTAATTAAAAAATTTACATTATTTAGCTATAATATAGCCATATAATAAGAAATAAGGGCTTAGATAGTTTCATCTCATAAATAACTTAAAGAAATATCGACTACACTAGTGATCTTGCTCAAGAATATATAAGTGTGCTTTATAACGCTACCTTTTATCTGATTCTGCACAACAAATACCATACAATAGTTAATACCTTCGTTTCTGATCGTTAAATTTAAAAACTATATCTTAGATTGGTATGGAAGTACCATTCCGAATCTTTTATCTTAATCCTTCTATACAACCAAATGTGGAAGAAGCCACTAGAAAGTCAAGTTCTGCCATAGCCCAATGTAAAATATAATAATGAATATGATATAATGATCTTAAGTTTAAAAAAGCCTGACAAGCCCCCAAATTAATATGAAAAATCTTTTGAACTCATCACCAAAAAATTAAATATTTTCGGATTTGCGCCAGCTGCAAGGAACTACACCAACCTGTCTTTATGGCGGTTTCTGTGTTTATGTTGCTGGCGGGAAGCGCGAAATGTCGCCAAAGGAAGGTCCTCGGACGGTCACGGGACTGGGACAAGGCGACAGGAAAGAAATAGACAAAATGCAAACTTTAGTAGTTTTTGGCGCCGCGGTTCCTGTAAGTCGGCTACAAATGCGCAGACAATCGCACAAACGCAACCCTTTCCTTTATCCTTTATCCTTTCTGCTCCTGATGATGATGATGATTATGTTGTATCCTTGCTGTTGGGAGACAGTTTCAGTGATTTTTCCCTGCACTTTGGCTATGCTGGCATTTTTATGTGGCCGGAGAGAATGGATGGCAGGGGTAAATGGAAGTGTCTTGGCAAAATATTTGCATCCGCCTCAATGGACAAATTTGCGTATTTATGAAAAGAACAGATTGAAAATGTGCCCCGGCCATCTTCTTGTTCTCTCCATGTCAGCAATTCGAATTTAAATAGAATTTTCAGTGCAGTTCAGGACGCAATTAAAGCGGTCAGTTGTTCCTTTTTTATGAGCTGCCCTGTAAATATGCAGTAAATACACTTGGCTCGCAGCCAGAAAGGCGACAATGTCCTTTGGCTACTGGCCACTGGTCACTGCGCCATGACCACCGCTCTTCACTCTTCGAATGGGCATTACAAACGCCTGTCAACGGTTCGAAAAAATAGATTGCATTGTCTGCCAAGCGAAGGATGCCGCAAGATGTCCTTTTGGAGAGGTGCGTGGGTTCACTCCTTTCATCTCTTCTTTCTAGTAAGTAAGTCTTTTAAGTTCAGTGACTTGGAAAATGCGCAGCCACACGTCGGCCTCGAATAGTTAAATATGGTCTCATATGCAAGTTACTTCATCGGAATGCATGAGAAATTGATTCAGTAAATATTGCAGCTCAGTCAAGTGGATAAATAACTGAGAATATATAGGAAGCCCAGCCAAAATCTATTTAAGTCCCTTAATTCACTTTTGTGATTTAAAATGAAAGGTCATGTGAACAATTAAGCATTCATTATGATTTTTGTTGTCTAACAAGTAAAAGTAAGAAATTTTAAAATAGTTTTAACTATTGGTTTATATATTTAATACCCAATTATAATTTAAAATAGGTATAATTATTTTCATCCGAAAACTACAGTACTTAGTCTATGGGCAAACTTATGTGGAATTTTTATGAAGCAGACATTAACTTAAAAGTTGTCAAAATACCATAAAAATTAATATTTTCTCTTTTAAAAATATTATTATTGTTCAAAGCTTACCAGAATATTACCGAATAAAGCGTAAGCCCTCTTCTTGATATTTGGATAAATCACTCTCCTTAAATATTTAGACAAATAATCTCACTCTCCATATTTGTATTAAGCCCATCACCGCTTGTATCCCTTTAACCCGGCCAAAAAGTAATGCCCACTACACCTTTTATCTGTG